TAGCTACTTTGGCCCACCAGGTTTCGCAATTTTTGTTAAGGCTTTCACTGAGCTGATGCTGCAAGCGCAACTGGTTCCTAAGCTGATCCTGGCAGATTGGGATCTATCACTTTTGATCCATCGGGATTACTGACTCCTGAGAGATCCACTGTCTTCGGCAAACTTCCAGCTCAGCCCCACAAACAAAGTTAGCCGCCCAATGCATTGCTCGTCTGATATGGTCCCACTGTTGATCTACCCTGCCAACTCGCGGTGCCCCTAGCTCCTCATAACGTGCGCAAACAGATGGATCGCACAGAGAAGAATGAGCCAACTGAGGAGACAGCTTTTGCCGACGGCCGATGAGCCGAAGTGTGAAGCGCATCGGAACTAGTGCACGATCCGACTCAACCCAGGTTGCCCAAAGAGATCTGCAATTTTGTATAGAACCACGCCAACGGTNTCAAAAGTTGGTGTTAGATAGGAACAACCGGTGATCCGCGCAGAACTGAAGTAGTCACCGTTGTTTGTTTGCTGGGCGGGATGAGCAAAGCACTCCTATAGGCATGCTTCGAATGCGCTCAGTTTTCCCACCTGCGCGTTGCACTCGCCTGCCATCACTATAACATCAGAGCTATAGCTCAATCGGATGAGCTCACATGAATTTACAAAGAGTTCCTTGTAGGTGCAAGATACGTTTGTTAGCTCTGCTGCATTAGAGTCCCCATGTCGAAGGACCCGAGATTCAGAGGTTAACGATGCTTCAGAATCGGCAAATTATTTCGGGGTAAATTCTTAGTGCTGTTGTTTCCATCTTCCGGCTGCGTGTCCGAATTTGGGACAATTCTATCGGAGAACTGACAGAAATTTTGTTGTCAATCAGGGCAATAAGATCATTGATTAAACTGAGCTACATGATTTCGAGATTAAGAGAAAAAGAACCTCTTTGAGGCCGTTGTGCTGCAAGCGTCTCATCTTCATTTGAAACAACAGTACCAAAAAGCATGAACTGAAAATGTCTCCACCAGTTCAGTTTGAGTTTTTACAACCACTGACCGTGCACTTTCACGCGCTGGTTTTGAGTGCTTTTTGTGACCACCCATTTAGATAAAAGAGCAGAATGAAGATTGGAATGTTGACAGCAGAGTCAAAGAGAAGATAAGGAATTCATATAGACTGCGGTTTCAAGAACAATGAGTAGATGCACGAATGCCACTGTTTGTGACACCCAGTCATATCGCTCAGTGTCTCTAACCACCGGTAACCGTAATCTCGAGGTCCCCAGCCATGGAACGTAACGGGATCTATGTGACCAAGTCTCCTGGTTAGGGTTTTCATACTCTCCTGCCAGGTCTTAGTTTGTACGCCAATCATCTTTTTCCAACTACTGCCCGCCTCGGCAAACATCGCTCGCTGTGGCAACCTATTTGGTGATACGCATAACACATGTCCAAACCAACGTAATCCATGGAGGTCGACCACTTGTGCCAGTTGACGACCGTGACTACCTAAAACTCTACGCTTAACCTCAGCATTACTCGTCCGATTTCTCAACCAGACTTGTGCAATGCGAAGTAGACAGCGGTGTACGAACACCGACAATCTATTTTTTCCTGTTCCCGTAGTGGTCAAGTTTCTGCACCGTAGAGCAGCACTGGCCGAACTGCTGCAGCATACACTCGACCCTTCACAGACGGCTGTGTCGTGACGGCACCACAAATGTCTCACTTTGGCAAATACCAACTGAGCATTCTGTATACGCGCCGACACTTCATCTGTGACGCTTTCGCCATAGCTTCAATACAGCAAAATTTGTCTACTGCCTCTACTACTTCCCCAACCACGGTGAGTTTGGCGGCTGAAACAACCCAATCTTGTGGCATTTTACACTTTGAGGGTGCAAACACATATCAAAGATGGCTGGACTAGCATTCAAACTATCCAGAAAAGCTTGCAACTTACCTGGATCCTCACTAAGTAGAACAATGTTGTCTGCGTACTCAAGATCAGAGAGTCTGTCACCCGGGAGAAAATCGATATCGCTTTCCTCGCACGAGGATGACGAAGATGAATAGGAATGGAGAGAGAGAAAGGATAAACCTGTCACACACCACTTTCTGTAGTGAAATNGTGAAATCGGGTGAAAAGTACCGTAAGCTCGGACTCATGAAGAGATCGCAAAACTGAAATGAACTTCTCGGGCATATCCTTCAGAGACAGGCAGCGCCACAGTTTTGAGCGGTTGACTGAGTTGAAAGCCAGTTACAGATCGAGCAAGATAGAAATGGTGGGTTTACGAAAGGAGTGCCTGTGTTCTAGAATTAGACGGAGTGAAGATGAGGTCGATTCAGTCTAGATCAGGTCTAAAACCAGCCTGATCCTCACGTGTGCACCGTTCGCACTCGGCAGACTATCAACGAAGTATAATACCAGTGAGAAAAACAATCATGAACTTATTTTTTTGCGCATCAAGATACGAGGAACATTATCCTGATGAAACAGTAAGCATACGAAATCAGCACAAATAAGCATGTTTCCCAAAACGGAATAGAAGCGTTGGAGCATGACAAGTGTGTGGTAATCCAAAAGTGTGGTATTAAAAGTGGTGATCTTCGCTGCCCAAGAGAAGAGTGATAGAGACAAGATAGTGTGGTTAAGGAAAGCATTACGAACACCATAGATTTACTCACTTGAAATACTGCAAATGTTCCGGGTTGACTGAAGATCCGGGATTGATCTGAAGGGAATAGTTTGTTGCACTTGCATACTGAAACAGGCAATACATAGGATTTAACAGCTCCGTGGACAGTTTGAAGAACCATTCACTGCACAGTGGTTGGCGATTCCCGCAGTCAGAAAACAGGCGAAGGAAAGTGTGTGAAGGACAGATAGACAAAGAGCAATACGTGAGAATATATACTGTTCCAACAGGAATCAACAAAAAGACAACGGACCTATTAAAGAGGTTGGTTACTTGCTTCGATGAAATTAATGGTTATATATTCGTAAATTGCAATGAACGAATTCCCAGATTAAGACAATGCTGGAAATAGCCATAGGAAAATATATATTGACAGACATTTTCGTTTACGATAAATAACGAAAGACTGGCAAATATCCAAGCTTAAAGTGGATTGTTGAATCACTTGAAATTAGCTTGTCTACGAGGGACGGAGTCCTAATAGAAGAAAAGCTTTCCAAGAATTGAATGCGCACAGAAGCTACCTTACCGAGTTTCCAGCACTATCGTTATTTCGTTGCGGTTTGAGATTGTTAGATGTCCATGTGATTCAATACACTAATTGTAGTCGGACATCAACCTGTATTATTTTAAGTCTAATCCTCGCGCTCTCTCGCATGGGGTAGCTTGGTCTCTCTCTCTCATATATATATTCGCCACAATAACCTTGTTTGCAACACCGGGTGACTTTTGGATAGACAGCTCTTTCAGAGCCAGTCCATTGAAGAATCAATGTTATGATTCGATGTTTCGTAGGTGGGTTAGATGCTACTAACCGCAATATACGTGACGTGAGCCTCTTTATAGGATATTTCATAATACATATACACATATATGAGTGTAATTCAAAACGGAAAAACAACAAGGGCTTGAATTAATCCACAAATAGTGCAAAGTGTGTACGTGAACGTACCGTGCAGGACCACCATAATCCAAACCTTCTTCACCTTGAAAGATCACATACAAGGTACGACGCAGTTCGAATGTCTCCAATTTCATCACCTGATTGAACGAATCATCCAGCAAATTCTGTCGGGACACGATAATCTTGGTGGTGCCGCTGACCGCATTGGACTGACACAAATAACGGAAGCTGGACTGTTTGTGTTCGAACGACCATTCGCGCGGTTTCGAGGAGCTGCACACAAACGGATGCAAGCACCGCCAAAAAGGAGATCGGTGATAGATTACAATACGAGGCAACAAAGATAATTACACAAATGAGGTGACAAATATTTTGGAGAGTAACACGATACAAAATGAAAGCTTCAGGGTTGCCCATCAGATACAGGGTCATCAATAATAGTTCACAACGTATTGACGGAAACTGTAAATCGATTTTGGGGGGATTTTTGTGTTAAATCGAGGTAAGGAAACATGAAATGCAAGGTATTAAACATGACATATTGCCCATATTTCCGATAGAGTAATAACCGTGGAAGCTAATGCCAATAAGAACGCGGTTGGATGCTCGTAGCAAAACTATAAAGTTGCACTGATAATGTTACCCAGGCTAATTACGAAACGTCTGCAAACCTCCCCAGTTAAGACAACACAACAGCACAATGAGTAGACTAGAGACCATGCATGGTACGCTACAGTGACGCCGGTGCGCGTATTGCTGAGAACGGCAGAAAAAAAGGAAAAGTACTGAGGAATAGAATAACGAAATGCTTTAAATCCGGCCACACAATTCAAAAAGTATTCTAATTCTCAACTCCTCACCGTATACTCCGCTGTACAGTGCATGGCGTGAAAGGTGGGATGATTTTAGATAACCGTATTTAGCAACTGACCACTCTAAATCTTGCCAGTAAGCAGTTTAAGTGAACTCCCACGGTGCTACGCTCAAATCAGCTTCATATATGAACCTTATTTTTCAGCTACGGATAAACTGTTCACCTGCAGAATTTGCCATGAGAACGGTAAGGTTGTGTAACTCAAGTAAGAGCATCGAAGGACTCGACCAAATCTATTGGTTCCTTAGATGTCTACAATGAGTTAATCTAAATTATCAATAGGACAGCCACAATGTACAAATGCCCTGGGACTGCAAAACAGAGAAACGGCCTCCTTTCGGATTGATCGGTTGCATTCCCCGATGTCGGGTGTTTGGACAGTTTTGCAGCTGAACAAAGTGATCTCACATGACGCATTCTAGGTGGATGCAAAAAAGAGACGTGGGAAAGGAGTTGGATTTATTTTAGAGTAGCAAGCTTGGATTAGCACATTCGCTTGTTAAGAGGTACTAGGCACTCTTGAGTTTGATTTAGGTTATGTAAAGTGTATCCACAGAACAAGAAAAACGTTCGGTTTCAGGTCCTAAATGGTTTACTGAGTCGTTTTTCTCCGATTCCAACGAAATCATTTCAATTGGTGAGTGAGTGGCTCTTACCAAATCAGGTTTAGCATGGTAAACGTATTCAGAGATCAACTTCAATCATGACAAACAATGCCTTCGGTATTGTTGGTGACGAAAGGTAAACATGGTCTTGTGAATTCGCAAACGCTAACCGTTGTTGAAGTCAGATTGCTAAATACTTTTTTATACACAGACTCCACATCTTGGAGAAGTATAACAGAGCCGAACACGGCAAAGCATTATAATCGTCATGTCTTAATTCAAGGTGTCGTATAGTAACAACCATCAATAGTCAGTCATTCCCTGCTTACCAAGCTTCAAGAGGTGATTTGATCTATCTGAAGCAATTTTTAACACTGTATTGTGTACAAAAAAATGCAGACATGCCAGGCATACTTCACAAGTACTCCAAAACGCGAAAAGACGACCTGTGTTGCCTACATTAATGTATTTTATTCACTTGTTCAATCAGGACAATTGGGGTTCTTTCCTTTTCGCTTCTGCACACTTTACTAACCACAACATGACACTGAACAGACAAGGTAACACAAAAGACGATTGCCGAGTGAGAACAAACATATCATTTGTAGGCCCCCCTCCGATTGACATATTCAGAATAGAGCAACGTGAATAGAAGTCTGCACCAGAGGGAAAGACATGAAGCCAGGTAGAGGTTCCTAGGACACAATACATTGTATGTGTCAAACAGCGGTTTGGATAAGAAGGAACAAATGCGTCCACAGAAGGGAAAGACTGGATTGAAAACCCCGAGTGAAACCAGAAAATACAATAATGTATGCGTCCGTTCAAACAGATATAGTCATAGATTCACGTGGACTACCTTATTCAAGAGGAATAGCATAAGTGTGGCTAACGACCTAAACCATGAGATCGGTCAAAGCTTTGCCCTGTAGAATATCCTTACAAGATTCGAACACCCGATCCACGTTGCGGCGATCAATAGCCGTAGTCGGGAATGGGTAAACATGTCGGACAGTGGACTGTTCACACCGGGACAC